AAAAAAAAAAAAAAAAAAAAAAAAAGACTGGACCTTGCCACTGTCAATCACATGGAAAGAATTTGGAGAGATTGAACCAGAAAAAGAGGATTAGGGCACCCTGGCCCAGGAGAATTGCCTAGAATGAAGAGTAAAGGAGGGAGGGGATAGGAAAAGGGGGAGGAAACTCTGTTCCTTATCTTGGGTTCTGGGTAGTAGAAATCAGGCTTGAACCTAGGGTGAGATAACTCTGTGGCAGTACATGAGTCATCTTATTAGGAAGTCTAGGAAGAGGGATTGGGGGCCTTGAGCAGCCAAAATGATATGCCAGTTGTAGATTTTGCTATTGCATTTCTGTTCTGTTCTTTTGTAGCGTGTTCCTACTGTGCTGTGGGCTAATGTACTTTAGGCTGGAATGGTAAAGGTAGAAGCAATGTAGTGATGTAGGAGCAGCCCAGCGAAGGGGAAAGATCCCAGAATAGCAGGAAGCCACTAACAGTAGTACAATAGGAGGCTCTCTCCTTTGGAATTATTTATATAGGATAAATTTCCAGTGATGGAATTTATCAATAATTGAAATGTATGAACATTTTAAGGCTCTAAAATGACAAAGAAATCAACCCTTTTATAAAAAAGACAGCAGTATATGTAAGGGTAAGACAAAGTTAACATGTCAACAGAATAATAGATCCTTAATGCTTTGCTGGACAAACAGGGAGACCCCTTCTTAAAATTTGCTAATTTATGATTTCAAAGTCTATTTTTTTCCTCCTGTTTAGTGTCCAGAGATCTCTTCTCTTCTATCTGATCATCACTAAGGGGAGCCTTAGGTTGTAGTCACGTAAATTAATTTTTAAAAGCCTGTGTATTTTATCAGTTAGGAAACTGACATGTCCCCAGCCCTCAGTATTTTCCCTTCCTTCCTGCATTGCCATTCTTATAATTAACAAAGTCTTAATTGTGAGTCTGAGATTTCTCATACCCAGAACAATTTTGTAAAATCTTGGCAGGATCTAGGAAGCAAAATGGGCCCTAAAGGCATGTATATGCACAATGGCAAAATCCTTTGATTTCTTATTTTTTTTGTCTCCTTCTAACTTCCCCTCCATTGCCAGTGAAAGTAACTGTGAATCTCAGTCTTTGAGCTGTTTTCAGTTTGTCTCAGATAGAGATAAAATCTTAGTATGTCTAGTTTCTGTCCAGCCTAGAGTTCACCCTTATTCATCTTTTTTTTTTTTTTTTTTGAGACAGAGTCTCACTCTGTTGCCCTGGGTAGAGTGTAGTGGCATCATCGTAACTCACTGCAACCTCCAACTCTTGGGCTCAAGCAATCCTCCTGCCTCAGCCTCCCCAGTAGCTAGGACTACTGGCATATGCCATCATGCCCAGCTAATTTGTCTCTTTTTAGTAGAGACAGGGGTCTCACTCTTGCTCAGGCTGGTCTTGAACTCATGACCTCAAGTGATCCTCCCACCTCGTCCTCCCAGAGTGCTAAGATTATAGGAGTGAGCCACCACGCCGCCCAGCCTACTCACCTCTTGTATGTCTTCACTACATGACCTCATTAGAATTATGTCTTGTTTTTTATCCCTAAATTAGATTAACTTGCCGTAGATCCTTTGCATTCTAAAGGGCAGGAAAGCAGCTTCATTTATACCAAAAATGTTTATGATCCCTCTTTTGTATAATTTGGAATTAGTAAACCAGCGATGACCCAATATTGTTTTCCCTTGATATATTCTGGGACCTTGCTATCTTGAAACAGCTAAGGGTAAATCTGGAAAACTCTTTTGCTGGCCAGATGGAGTTATCTATGGGAAGATGAGGCTTACGTAAGACAGGCAAAATCCTTGACTCCTTCCCAAAACCATGCCAGAAAAAAGCTATAAATCTACACTAAGAACCTCAGAGAGAAGCCTTCTGAGACACTTATAAAAAGCTCCTGTGGGCAAACCCTTGGCAGTTTGGAAGTACAGACCCTGATCCTTCCCTAAATCATTTTGGGGAAAGTGTAACTATGGACTGAAAAAATCCTGGCCTCTAAAAATACAAGCAGAAAGGAGATAAACATATAGATTCAAAGAGTTACCTCGTGGAATTATTAGAGAATAAAATTCTCCCAGTGAAAAACACTCCGAGCCAATATTGTTAGTTCAGCACTTAGATTATCCTTGGTGTGCAAATAAACAGACTTGAAATTGTTTTTGAAATCTCTCCAAGACTGTCCCTCCCACTCAGTCTTCATGTCACCATCTAGTGAGTTAAGTTGTGAAAAACCCCAATTTTCCTTAAATGTAGTTATGTAAGGCTAAAATGCAAGGCACTAGGCACTTTCCATGATCATACTTCACCTTGCCACTTATGATACATGATTGGCAGTAACCCTTTCTTGAAGCAATATGCATAATGGAATCAAAACTTTACTACTACTTGGGAAACTGGTAATTAAAAGAAAAAAAATCAAAACTTTATGGGAATAAAACCCAAATCAAGAGATTTAAAAAGGAAAGACCATGAGAATTAAAACATTGCCTTATGAAGGAGACAAAGTAAGCTTGGGTCACCAGTTAAACTTCACAAAGAAAAAAGAATGTAACAGGGCACCTCTACTGCACAATGAATAAAGTTCCCAGTCAACTCTTCCTTGTCTTCTCCCACCTCAATGACATCCCTCTACATATTAAGTGCAACCTCCTGTCAAATGGATCCATTCTTCATAGAGGAGGATAATTATGGAAAATAGCATTTGGAGTGGAAGTAAACAGCAGATAATAATCCATAATTGTTTTTAATCTTGAGGATGAGTCACCCTCAATTTATTTCCAAATTTCTTCTGTCATCAGCTGTTCATTTCTTTACTTTGAAAATCACCAGATTAACACTGCCAAAGGCAAGGTAGGAAATGATCCAAGAGGACAATTCAGAGGCATCACATGGTGAGAAATTAGAAACAAGATAGTCCTCAGGAAAATCTTCTGTCCCAGCAAAGGCACCAAAGTGTAAACCTAATTCACACTTTCATTATTCCAATCAGGTTATTTTTACATCGGTGTAATTTTAGAATAAGACAGGCTAGGGGATTATTTATTTCCTGGGAAATTCTGTCCATCACTCTACATATAGGATAGCCAAGGTCTAACTCCAGAGTTCATTTCAAACCAAGAAATTATATTCTTTTTACCTCTCCTTAATACTTTCACATGTCTTCTTTATTCCCTAAATCTTCCTTCTATACAAGAAATTTCAAAACAGAAATTCTAACATCATAAGAAAAGTGATCTAGTTAGATGTGAGCTGTCTAAACTTGGGTGAATCGCCTATGCTTACCAATCTATCAGGGTGCTTAGAGTCTCTGTAAAGTGTAAGCTTGCTATTTTATCTATATTTGAATTGTCTTCTTTAAGCTGATTGGGTTCTTATACCCATTTAGCCTCTAACTCTGACTCAGGGTTGGAAATAGGAGACTGGAGTCCAGATGTTCACCCTAGGAATGAGGTCTAAATCACAGTCCAATTATTGCAGACAGGCTAAAAATGGAGGTTTCAGACTGTGCTTAACATCCTCTTAAAAACACAAAGCTGCAAACTTGGATTAGAAGCCATTTACTTATGTCAGAAGACCATTCCCAACTCAAATTCACTCTTCACACTTAACTGGGGGCAGATTATGCCTGTATAGGCAACGAAGTAGAAAAACTAAAGTATTATCCAAATAATTCAGGACAAACAAAAATTGTTTTCATTTGAAATCTGCAGACAATTGAAACCAAAAGAAGTGTTTTGGCTATTTGCTGTTTTCCTCTTTACTGTAACTTTGTAGGCCAATCATAAATGTTTGCAAACAGTGAGCTTTCAAGTGAATGATGTTCAACCTGGAGTTCATTGGATAGTCGGGAATCATTATCTTGGTTTTGGTTTACTTAATACATTTGTAAACGAATCAAGATGTTCTGGCATAGCCTCAACCCTTCTAAAACACACAGATTAAATGTCAATTTATGATAAGTGTTCGCACACTCACTTATGCTACGTGATGGAACTGTGTGGAAGGGGGTAAGGGGGAAAGTTTGTCACAGCTCCTTCCGGGAAGTCTTCCTCCTCCCCATCTTCCACATTAGCTAAAATGCGTGAGCATCAGCTCCTGACGGATACGGTCAGCCTCTAAGTCCAGGGACTCCATGTGCTCATACTCTTCCTCAGGGGGCTGTTCCATGGGTCCTGTCATTGGAGAGGACCAAACATCCATCCCATGCTCTAGGGAGATGTTGTGGAGGACACAACAAGCCAAGATGATGTGGCTGGACTTTTCTGGTGAGTACTGTAGTGCCCCCTTGGATCCATCCAGGCAGCGGAATCGGGAATAGAGGGTTCGGAAAGTCTTCTCAATCACACTGTGAGTTGCAGAATGGGCCATATTATAGCGATATTCTGCTGGAGTTTCAGGAATGTGAAGTGGTGTCATGAGCCAGGTGCGGAGAAAGAAGGAACTGTCACCTATGGGGAAGTCCAAAAAAAATCATAAGTGATTATAAGTGGAATACAAGCAAGAAACAAAATTCAGAAAACATATCCTAAAGATGGACAATACAGAAGTCTCTAGAGCCGAAGCACACACACACACATACACAAAAAAAAAAGCCAAGAGGAAAATGCTGTGGTAAAAAGAAAGCATACCAACGTCAGGGGCAGGAAGACATGAGTCTTGGGTGAGAATATCTTTGGTAAAAAAGCAAGAGAAAAAAGCTGATAGCTAAAAAAAGCCAAATCTAGCCATGCACAGTGGTTTACGCCTATAATCCCAGTGCTCTGAGAGGCCAAGGTGGGAGGATTGCTTGATGCTACGAGTTTCAGACCAGCCTGGGCAACATAGCAACAACCCATCTCTACAAAAAAATTAAAAACTTAGCTGAGCATGGTGGTGCATGCCTGTAGTCCTGGCTACTTGGGAGGCTGACGTAGGAGGATTGCTTGAGCACAGGTATTAGAGGTTACAGTGAGCTATGATCTCCATTTCTCTCCAGCCAGAAAGACAGAGTGAGACCTGTCTCTAAAAATAAAAAAAGAAACCCAAATCTGAAAGAATGTAGGAAGGAAGTGATGGCACTGGAGGAAATAAAATTCCTGGATTTGCCAAATTCAGAGATATTGTTGTTTTAGAAAAGGCTTAATAAAAACTATCAAATAGCATGCTAATCTTCAACATGTCTAAGGAGCAAGAGAGAAAAAGAGAATTCTGTGAGAAGATCCCAAAACACTTCCAAGGAAAATTTCTAACATTACCATTAAAATTTCAGGTGTGAAAGCACTTCCTAGGGATTTCAGAGTATTTCGTGGATAATAATAATCCACCCAGTGCTTAGAAGAGTAAAAATCCCAGCATTTGTGGCAAAGATCGGAACTCAGGTGTTCTGCCTTCCTATATATGACAATTACTAGAGCCATGCCTTGCAACAGAGGAACTGGAAGAATTAATTTCACATTAACAAGGAGAGCATATAAATAATGATGCAAATAGTTAATAGTCAATGATAAGGAAATGAAATTTTGAAGTCAAATAAAATAATACATACAAGGCATTCCCCTTAAGTGACTTTCTTATCAAATGATCCTAGGAAGTGCTAACAAAAACAAAAAAATTGGGGTGCAATGTCCTAATACAACAGCATATTTCTATAATGTTAAATTGTTCTGACTCAATACATAGGGCAGATGAAATGTCTCACACAGAGACACAACGTCTTAGAAATCTGAGACAGGAATAGGCCCTGGAGTACCAACTTGCACAATCACTATGCTCCTGACTCACCATCAATTTTAATAGTTCTGGACTGTTCAGACAGTGATAGGCACTGCTCCAAACAAACAGGACTCATTTCTTTTAGGAGCTGACATTTCTTTCTTTCTTTGTTTTTGAGACAGATTATCGCTTTGTCATCCCAGCTAGGGTACAGTGGCGTGATCATATTAATATCTCACTGCAACCTCAAACTTCTTGGCTCAAGCAATCTTCCTGCCTTAGCCTCCTTAGTAGCTGGGACTATAGGCACGTGCCACAACGCCCAGCTTTTTTTTTTTCTATTTTTTTTTAGTGCAGACGGGGTCTTGCTCTTGCTCAGCATGGTCTCAAACTCCTGAGCTCAAGCAATCCTCCTGCCTTGGCTTCCCAGAGTGCTAGGATTATAGGAATGATCCACTGCCTCGGCCAGTACTTTTTTTTTTTTTTTGAGACAGTCTCACTTTGTTGCCCGGGCTAGAGTGCCGAGGCGTCAGTCTAGCTCACAGCAACCTCAAACTCCTGGGCTCAAGCAATCCTACTGCCTCAGCCTCCCGAGTAGCTGGGACTACAGGCATGCGGCACCAGGCCCGGCTAATTTTATATATATATGTATTTTTTTTAGTTGTCCAGCTAATTTCTTTCTATTTTTTTTTAGTAGAGACGGGGTCTCACTCTTGCTCAAGCTGGTCTTGAACTCCTGAGCTGAAACAATCCGCCTGCCTCGGCCTCCCAGAGTGCTAGGATTATAGGCATGAGCTACCACGCCTGGCCTGGCCAGTACTTTTTAAATATTATCTCTTATTATCCAATCCCAACTCTGCCAGGTTAGATATTGAAATCATTTTACAATTGAGAAGATCAAAATATATGTTAGCCATCTTTTGACATACCAGGCAAAAGAAGCAGCTAGTCATTAAATGCTAAAGTCAGACTCAAAGTTCTAAAACAATGGTGTAATGCGGTAAAAGAGAATAAGACAACCATCTAAAATGAATGCTGAAACACGGAGATGCTGGCTGGTCCGATGGTAGTGGGTTATCAGAACTTATTAACATTAGTGTCACTAAAGTTGGTATTCCAACTCCCACTGCTAAATTTTAAAAAAAGAAAAAAAAAGAAACATGGAGATGCTGAATAATATTTTTTAAAGTTTCTCTAGGAAACAACATGAACGTTAAGTTGGGCAGACATACAGGGCAAGTTAGTTACAAAAGGTAGACCTTTTGTAAAATGCTCTAAGGTCACTAACTGGTTATAATCCAAGCACTAGTGGAAAACAGACACTCAGGAGGGGATTAGGATCAGAATTGCTAAACAGATTACAATTGCTTATGTGATCAGTCATCCAAAAGACATTCTGGCAGATCTCACCCAGAGCTGCTTAAAAAGACTAGGCTAAGAGCTGAAGAACTAAGGACTCAGGCTGAACTGTTTGCAGAACAGGTATATTTAGAGGAGGGGAATTTAGGTAATCTACTCTGAAGGGACAAATGAGAATGAAGACAGGGAAGGATGACACCCTAGGTGAAAATGTTAAAAGACAGGGGAGATCACAGCTAGTTCTAGGTTTAACAAATCTAGAACTATTCCACAAACGTGATGGTGTTCTTAAAATAAATTCAGCCATCTCTTCTTTCTTTTTTTAACATCATCATTCTTTATAATCTTGCCAATCTTCCCCTAAGTATCCCACTGTCCACATATCCTCTAGAGATCAGTGTTTTCCAAATTTGTCTGTTGATACGAATTTCGTGGCTTGATCATAGCTCACTACAGCTTCAAACTACTGGGCTCAAGCAATCCTCCTGCCTCAGCCTCCTGAATAGCTGGGACTACAGGCATGCACCACCATGCCTGGCAAATTTTTCTTATTTTTTTTAGAGATAGGGTCTTATTATGTTGCCCAGGCTGGTCTTAAACACCTGGCCTCAAGTAATCTTCCTGCCTCAGGCTCCTGAGTCACTGGGATTACAGGCATGCGCCACCATGCCCGGCTAATTTTTTCTATATATTTTTAGTTGTCCTCTTTCTATTTTTAGTAGAGACGGGGTCTCGCTCTTGCTCAGACTGGTTTCGAACTCCTGAGCTCAAATAATCCGCCCGCCTCGGCCTCCCAGAGTGCTAGGATTACAGGCGTGAGCCACCGCGCCCAGCCCAGTGTAGCAATCTTAAATGAAGACTTTGTGATGGCAGCAGGAGAACTTTAATTTACAGAATCATAATGTTGTGATTGCAACTTTTCAAGGGGATTAAGGATGCCATGACTGAAGGCTCGATTCCCGGGAATACCCTGTGCCCACTTTACTCCTTTCTACCTTTCTGTCAGCCCTTGTTTATTTCCTTTCAAGCACTTGTTTCATCCTAAATTTCAATATTACACGTACCTGGTCAACTATACTCCTTACTAGAATAAACCCCATAAGGGTAAGAACATCTATGTCTACCTTTGTATCCCAGCATTTCATGAGCCTTCAATAAATATTTATTAGATGAACAAAAGACTGAAAAGGTAAAGGCTGACACAGAGTCACAATCAAGAAATAGCTCTAAAAGGTCTGATGGGAATATTTCATACCACAGAAAAAAAATTTAAAAAACACAGTAACAGAACGATACACAATGAAGAAAGAAGAAAGTTTAGGTAGAGATATGGAAATTATCAAGCCTAAGAGCAGAGGAAGAAACAAAACAAGTTAGAAAAGATAAACACTTACTAATCTACAAATACACAAGCCAGGACTAACTGGAAGAGAAGCTGTAAATATCCTCAGCCTTATCCTAACTAAACATGCAGCACCTACA